CCTGGATGTAGGTCCACCGTCTCCTCATTCGATATTTGAGGCGCGGGCCCATGTCGTGGTGCGCGAGACCTTCCAATAGCTGCAGCACAGAAGGTCGGAGGACGAACACACCACAGGTATTGTCCGGTGCAGTGCGATCAACGAATTTCGGCAAGTCCGACAACATTAGAGGGATCCCATTGTAAAGATTGTGCTTGCGACAACGGAAGGCTGTTGAGCAACTCCAATCTGTCTGGGCCTTCTCGGATTAACTGCAAAAGCCACCAGTGACCAGTGTCAAGCATGTTTCGCCGGCTGCAAGCACTTTAATCCAAGAAGCGAAGTCCCGTCGAACCGCGGCCGTTAGTGACTTATTCAATCTTAGAGCGGCCGGAAGGTTTTGCAACGTGTGGTCAGCGACTTTTTCCCAGCTTCAGACTCGGAAGTACATAAATTATAGGCTATGTCAGCGCAATCCAGGCTGGCCCGGACGCTAAACTCTCAACCCAAGAAAATCCCGCGCCGTGGACCCTATTTGAGAGAGATACGAGTAAAAGTATAGAGACTCCCACTTAAAATGTCCAGCAATTCCAAGGACATGCAAGCATCAAAGCGGCACAAAACACCCGAGACCCTGAACCCCTGTCCTCCCTGTGCCCAAGCTTGGCGCTCTCACTAGCGTGTGTTGTTTCCTCGGCTCGACCGCCAACACACGGGAGCAAGGACGTGGTCATGTCTCTCCGTCGGGTCAAGCATTTTGGCCGTTCTCGTGAAGTCTCCTCGTGGTCTCGTGGTTAATCGCGCTCGTTGTAGTCGTCGTGGTCGTCTTGGTCATCATGGTCTGCGTGGTGTTCTGTTGCCTGCGTTGGCAGAGCGAGTCGTGCAGCATTAGCCCGCGAGCCCGGAGTCACACTATTCAGGCATCTATATTAGTCCCTCAAACTCCTCATGGCGCTGTGATGGTTTCTGTTTGTGAGTAAGTTCTAATAGACGAATGCTCTACATATTCCAAAGAATGTACACGGAAGTCCTTCAGGTAGGAAACACTTTCGTTGCTTTGGATATTGGCCCCCATAACCTTTCAGGATTTGCCTTACAGGGTGGTCGGCTGTCCGACTTGCTTTAGATGTTGAACCCTAAGCCCGGCGTGGGAATGATTAGGTAATATTAGGGCTTGGGGATATTTGGGGGGTTTCCGAAAATAGGGGACCCTATAATATATAGTACCCTAAATAGTAGGATCCTTATTATAAGGCCCGCAAAAGAAGGTACCCCTACTTTTCGGAAACTCCCATTTGGACCCTACCGACCCCGAAGGTGGACATCTCGAGAGAAGCTTTCGTCGTAAACCACACACTCCCCCGCGATTGTTTCGCGGCCAAGCCTGTTTCGGCTATGTGTGAATGTGTGGGGTTGGGATCTGGAACTTGGCTTTAGGGTGGAAGCCTGGCTATGCAGGTTGCAAGCTATAGCATAATGGTATCCCTTTATGGTCTCTACATAGCCATAGTCAGTATGGTATATTGTTGGCAGCCATGAGACAACCTCTCAACTTCACCACTGGGAATATGTGTCCAGCTCGGCTTGGGTTAGCCACAGCCGGGCTTGCCGCAAGGGGTCCCGGAAACTACCCGCTTGATCTTGGAGACTTACATCTTTGTTTGCCAGATGGTTCATGTCGTGTTGTATTCTGTCTCGTGCCAACATGCAGATGCAGACGAATGCGGCCAGAGTCATCCGTGGATCTAGAAGCTAAACAGCGAAAGGGTGGTTCACTGCGGCAGCATGCATACTGAAGCACATCTCGGTACTTGTTGAAATTATCGCGAGATTCGACGACTCTCTTTAAAATCTCATGTGGACCATTTCAGACAAGTACCAAGCTGCTGTTGTCACAAAAAGCGGACCGCTCCGCACCGTTCTAGACTTGGCGGTATCCCTGGCAAAAAAAGGCTTGTTGAAAGAAGGACCAGCAAAGGAGTCTTACCCCTTCATCCGACGACACCCAATCTCAGCGACTTGTGTCACTGGAGAGAACCCTTGAAATCCAACTACAAGTAGCTACATTTTCTTCAAAAGACAAGCGCTGGTTCTTGTATGCATGCGTGTATACAGTATGTATGTATGTATGCATGTATATATATATATATATATATATAAGGATGCTATATGTGCGTATGTACCCCTGTCGCATGTACGCACTCAGAGATATGCGTATGTATATGTATGTATGTGTGTATACATACATATATATATATATACATATGTATACATATGTATGTCTTCTTCATGAAGTGAGGGAAATTTTGTTGGCCCACAAATTCCATGTGACGCACATCCCTGCACAATATGCTGCAACGCTTTCTTTGTTAATAGAAATGTACAACAGAATCTAATATAGAAATTGTCATACAGTGTAGACTAATTTTTTTTGGAAGTGTCATTTACTTTAAAGTAGCACAATTACGACATCATGGAATTCAGCAGAGTATACAGGAATGTTGCATTACAGAATACAGTCAGTAAAGCACAACAGAATACAACAACAACAACAAACGACAACAACAACAACAACAGAGTACGTTATTCTGTACCGCAGTATACCACGCTATTGATATGATGCCATGTCCTGCAATATAACCTCACTTTCCCAGCCGTGTGTATATGTACACAGAAACATAACCGAATGTAAGCTAAAGTAAATAAACTGGCCTGGTTCAATAAAGCAGAGCCTAATCCAGTAAACTAAGCACAACAGAACAAAACATGATGTGTATAATATGGCAGACCATGATAAACTATGCTGTGCTGGAGTACAAACTAGCATGTACTGATGGATGAACAGTAGAGCTCGAAACACTGACATATCGTAGACCAAGATATGGCATAGTTTCGTAACGCGTGATGCAACAGAGTGTGTAATAGTGTAGGACAATGTAGTAACATACAACATAGTATAACCCACTGCAATACATCATGTCATGAGATACCATCATGTAGTATGGTTTAGTATAGCATATTATAAAACAATGAATCGATGCAGTGTAGTGTGAGATAACATGACATTATGTATGCAACGGAATGATAAAGCATGGCAGAGCAGCGCGTTATAGCCTTACATGATGAAGCTTACTGTAGCAAAACGTTCAACAGTTCAGCATACGATACCAGAACATAGTTTTCGTGCCATGTGACATAGCTTAAGATAGTACATATACATCTACAAGAACTGTATGAACATTAGCATAATGCAATGCATGATTTAAACACAGTGTACAAGATATTACACAATGAACTATACTATACAGCTTATCATGTCTTATCAAGCTTAGACAGGCTTTTTCAACATGTAGCAGCATATTATAATATTGTTGAAAACAAGGTGCTTTAATACCTGAATTAATGTAGTGTCATACAACGTGCTCCAGTGTAATATAATATAGTATGCTGCAAGTTATTCGAAAACCCACTAATGTAGAGTTGCCAAAGTATAATAGACAATTAATATGCACTAGTAAATATAGCATGATATGAAACAGTATATATAGCATGATATGAAAGAATGCAATATGTGCTTAATATGAATATGAATTTCAACATTAATTTTCATGCGAGTCTAGGTATACGCATATACATATTGTTTGTAGATGGTAATACAACCGGCTGTGTTTTCGCATATAGTTCTCATCACGGAGAGGCAACAACTCTGCTAATCTTGTGCCCCATAACGTATGCAGAATGGGCGGCTTGTTTTATAGTCGGAGGTGTTAAGAAGAATGGAAACCTCAACTAAAATAGACACCTGAAGACATTAATTGCTGTGGAAACCAAGCCAGGTTGGCAAACTTTTCCGTTCCCGGAAACTTTTTGAAGACTTGCACATGAGCCATCTCATTTCACCCAGTTCCCGCCACTGGCGCCAAGAATCTTGTGGTTGATTGCCCGGGCCATCAGAAACACATACCGGATTCTTCACAAGAGTTGCGATGCAGCCTTGGGCGGCTTGCTCCAGAATCGGAAGTGATAAGAAGCACGAAAACCTCAAATTAAATAGACACCTGAAGACAGTATCGTGGAAACCAACCCAAGTTGGCCAACTATTCCGTTCCCGTAAACTTTTTAGAAGACTTGCCAATGTGCTTTCTCATTGTGCTGGATTTCTGCTTCCTGCACAAGAAAGCCTGTGGTTGAGGGTCCGGGCCAGCGGGAACGGATATCGGATTCGGCAGTGGAGTTTCCAAGCAACCTTTGTCCAACAGGGCTGCTCAACTGGCAGATCGCTCGCTTCCTGGGTTGATTTCTGCAGATTCCATGCAACTATAAGCGGAGAGTTGTCCGGGTTGGGCCTAGGCCCTGTTTCAGGGTGCAGCGTGCAGGGTGACCTCAAGCAGGGGTCCGGGGTGGCTTCGTAGAATCAACCGGAGCGAAAACAGCCAGAAGTCAGCAGCTGCAGCCGAAGCAACGGTCCTTATCGTCAACATGGCTGTTGTACGTGCACGTCGGTCTGGAATCTGCGACGCAGAAGCTACAAATACTAGTAGGTGCATATCAGGAATGCTTACACGGCAAGCTTCAGATTTGCTGTTCAGAAATATGCAAACTAGATGTCTTGCTTGATCATTGGCGGTGTTACGGTGCACGGGCTCCTGAAAAGACCGTAGACGCCTGAAGACAGTAGCTTGGCAACCAAGCCATTTTGGCCAATTATTCGGTTGCCGGAAATCTTTTAACCACTTGCAATGAGCCTTCTCACTTCGCATTTCCGCTTCCTGCGCCAGAAAAGCCCTTGAAGGGCCCCGCCGCGCGGAAACGGATGTCGGATTCCTCAGGAGTTGCCGCGCAACTTTTGCTCAACAATGATTGCTCAACTTGAAGATGTGCTCGCCTTGGACCGAGATGCACTCGTCGCTTCATAGAATAAACCGAGCTTCTGGCCAGAAGCCAGAGGCAGCAGCTGTTTAGGGTTTAGGGGTTTAGGGGTTCATCATCATCGGCACACGTCAAATGTGTCAGATGCGCAGGGGAACTTCCTCGTCGCATCGGAACAGACGCCGGGACCGGATGGTGCTCAACCTCAGAGTTTGCAGTGCCGAGCCGGTCTGGGAGGGTTTGAGATTCAATGTAGGGGCCTGCAGTAAGTAATTAGACATGAGCCTACACGTAGGGTTTTGGGGCATGTTAGAGTTGAGAAATGTGTCTCGTACATGCATATATATATATATAGATACATAGATAATCTAGCCAGATATAGATAGAGGCGTTACAAGGGGACATGAGTATGAGCATTCAGAGCTTACCTTGAGTTCAGTCGAGCATCGTGGCTTTTTCGGCGACGATGCAGCGTTACTGTTTGGAAGAATTCGGAGAAGCAGGGAAATCCGGCGTTGGAGGAGCTGTGGTGTGTCAGATCAAGCGCTGAGGGTTTACTGGGTGTGCATTCGCTTGACCAATTCTCTGTCTATGTGGAGCAATGACTCTGTTCCATCATTGCATTGAGTCTGCGATGTGGATCTTGGTTTTCGAGCCACAAGTACATATATGAACCCAGATGTACATGAACACGCAATGACCGTGCAATAGCTCACACACGCATGCTCCTTCGCTATATGTCAGTTGCTCTAGTCGATCCGCTGCTGCTACTACCCTCATATTGCGGCTACTTGTCAGATCGGTGGCAATGATATAGTTATAGAGCGTGTTGGCTCTATTCAATCGTTCGCGTTCGTGGAGCGGTTCATTGCACAGTAACAGTACCTTTCGTTTTCGCTGGAGTCTGCAGCGGCCAAACACGTCGTCTCAGAACCTAGTCCCTGGTCGTCGGCTTCGCACCCAAGCAAATCACCATGCGGCAAGCCCGCTGGCACTATAGAACATGCATCGATGTGCGCGGTAATTAACCGCACACGTGCAGTCCCCTGTAGACTGTAGACAGGGTTTGAGACTTCCTCTTGAAGGTGGCATTCATCTCTTTTGCCAGGTTTGAAAAGAAAAGGGATGATGCTTTGTTGCCATGACCAGCAAACTGTTTATCATTATTCGTCTAGCTTCCTGCAGCTAGGACTGACATGAAGCACTATAGACTCCGACCTAAACTCACCAAAGGCTCGAACAATTAGACCTTTGACTTAGACGCGTGATCAGGTCTGTAAACCCAAACCACAAATCCAAATCCGCACAGTAGATCCTAAACCCTATTGGTCCTTCCTCGCTTTCGGTCCTGTATGTGTCGGCGTTCTGCGTTCCCGGTCACTCCTTCCTGCCAGAGGTATCCGAATTGAAGCATGACGTGTCACTCCACTATAGGATTGCCAGTGGGGTGGGAGGGCGGCACGCTCGTGAATGCTGGCACGTGCAAGCCGGCAAACCCTAAACTCTCCACTAAACGGGTAGCCATAGACGTAAATGGGGTTTTCCGAAAATTTGGGGTGCCTTGTTTTGGGGGTCCTCATAATAAGGATCCTACCATTTCGGGTACGATATTAGGGTCCCCTATTTTCGGAAGCTTCCAAATCGAAGGCCAGAAGAGCGAATGGTCCTTGCAAGGTCCGACGAGGCTGAGACCCGTTGAGGGCAAGTTTCGTTCATTCATGCCGCGTGTTTTGTCATTGTTACAAGTGTCAAGCTGTTGAGGTTCAGAGTGTAGGAGGGTTAGGATTTAGGATTCTGGGGTTTATGAGCTGCAAAACAGCTGATGCATTGATGCTGAGAGACAACTCCGCGCCGCAAGTTGCTGGAGATTCCATAGCTCGGTGCTGCCACCATACGCTGTGAACACAGAGGTGGCATTCTGCTGACATTGGGAGGCTAGCTGTGCCAACCTTGCTATCAACAGACTTGTTGAGAACATAAATGGGGGCTTTTGCGTTTCCTACCAACACTATTTGGATGGTTCCTTATTCTAAAAGTAATCAAAGTATAATATACCCCGAAACCCTAATCTAGTTAATGAGGCCCCTAATTTCAAACATCTCAGGAAGATGATGGAACTAAGCAGACAGCTGCAACCAGCAGGTGCTAGCACACACACAGATCACGAGCTCATGCGCACGCACAGGAGACGTGCACACACGTACCTACTTACTGGAACCTTTGTTTAGAGAAGCGATGTTTTGTAGCAGCCGTAAACATCCAATGCCCCTGCGATGCGTGGCATCAAGCACCTCCTGCTTGGCTACTGCCAAACCTCCTCCGATGTAGTTGCGGACAGCGAGGTTCAACGGAAATGATACAGCTTGAATTACGATGCTGTGACAAACGATCATAGCATGTACGGCTGGCAATTCCAGCAGAACAGTAAACAGCAACACACGCACACAATGGAGAGCGTTTCCTTTGCCGCACTCTCCCTAGTGCCTTGCGCCTCCTGCGTGTGTAGCACTTTGTTTATCGTAGTCTATATCACAGGTAGAGTCAATGTAGAGTGAGTTTTCCACTGCACAAACAAACAACTCACGACAAACCACAACAGAGAGCACGGACCCCAACGCATAACAAGACACTGCAAGCACACAATACGTCTAGCTGCACGTGTAAACACGTTCACTTCTCCCTTGTGACGACATAGACATGTCTTGGTCTCCCGACGCTGGTCTATCACTCGGATAGAGTCTAATCGCTACTGGACTGGTGTACGCCAATGCACTTAGGTTTCTTGCTGTTCTATTGTTGCTTTGATCTCGCTGCCTGCTTGTTTCTGCAGTCTTTTCTGGTTGCTGGTGTGCTTGCAGCGTCCTGCTGGTTTTCCAGAAGGCACTGAAAACACTTCAATGTTGAACTGCGCCGATTGCCATGTCGAAGTCGCCAGCCCGTTGCAAGCCTTTCCTAGCCATTCCCGGAAACACTAAAAGCCTACATCATGGGGTGCCAGGGGTCGGAAACTTGAGTCGCAAACCTTACGCCCCAAATCCCAGCACGGCAAACTCTACCTATAGTCTCCATTGCAGTTCCGTTTTTTGGTTAACCAAAATCTCTATCATAGGGTCCTAACCATAAATCTGGTTAACCAAAAAAAGGAACTCAATGGATACTATAGGTAGGGCTGATTTATGGACTGGCTAGCGAAGAGTAAGTTTGCAGCCTTCGGGCCTGTTTAGGCTTGAGGCTTAAATTAATGCCAATATCATCCCTTGTGGGTTCCTTGTTAACTATTCTATACATGTATATATATATATATATGTGGTCACGCCCCCCCCATGATCCATACCATGGTTTTTTCTACCTCCTGCTGCTCATGCTTCGATTTCTACATGACTTTACCTACATACAAAATCATCGGCATTTGCGGTATTTTCTGCACCTAGCATCTACTTAGCTCTACATGTTGTAATTTGTTCTCACATGTTATATCCCCACGAAACCCGAAACGGATTCTGATTTCACTTTCGGGCTCCGCTCTTCCATCCAAAACCTGGCACTCCATGTTTCAGAAGGCATCACCGGTGGTTGTGCAAAAACTTCAACATGTTGCCTGTCGCTGTTGCCATGTTTTGGTGCCGATGCCAATACTCAAACTGGCAGCTTCGAATCTTCCTGGTCATTGCCTGATTGCCTGGAAAGCGTGACACATACTTCAAGTGTGTTCATAATATTATAGTACTAACGCTAATACTACTACTAATACTTATCACAATATTGATACTAACATCAATATTTGCAATAGTATTGATACTCCTACGAGTACGAATACATAATCTCTTGTGGTGTTAACAATAATGCTATCACCAACACTGATACGGATATTGATCATCTGTTGAATATTCATGAATGCCAGTACTATTACCAGCATGAACACTTACAGTATATTATGGCCAATACAACTATGAATAGTCTTAGTTCTAATATCAACATTAAAACTCCTACGAATACCAATGGTATATTCGTATTGATATGAATACTAATCTTTTTACTAATAGACACCTGCATATACTAATGTACATTAAAATACATACCATTATCTTAAGATACAGATATATACATTAGTGCATTCATGTACTAATGTTTTGGCATAAACATATACCCATATACCAATGTAATAATGTACTTCCCGTTAACGTATGAATATACTATACTAATATGCGAGTATACTAATATACGACTACTGCAACATGCAAGTATACCGACATGACAAATTAGTAGACTAATATGCCAACATACTGACATACTTGTAAATATGACTAGACAATACATGAGTATAGCACACATACTAGTAAACTAATACACCAATATACTAGTGTACTCGTGCACCAGTTGTACTAACATATCAAATATACAATTATACAAGTATACAAATATGTTACTGTTCGAATGCATTAATAATATATTGATATACTAGTCTGCTACTATACGAAACTATCAATATACTAACATATCAAAACTAGTTCTAGTATTGATACTAATACTAGCACTTCTGCGAATATAAGCTGCGGTTAAACGCAACATTAAGACTGACACTGATACTAGCAGTGGTGCTGTATTACTGACATTGACACTGGCACTAGCGCTAACTCTAACACGAGCATGAGCATGAGCACTGACACTAATTTATGTTTACTACTATTACAGCAAACACTAGTACTAATATTATTAAGAACAGTACTCATCCCAATACCGATACTTCCACAAAACTATCACGTAACTCATGTGCCGCGCGTCGGGCGCATGCGTCCTCAGTACATGGCATTTCAAAGTATATGTTGTATATCTGCTGCAAATGTTTTACTTTACAGATTGTCGTCGGGTGTGGTGTGCTTTGATACAATATCTCAGAGAATTGGTGGCATCGAGAGCATCTTGCAAGGATATGTCACCCCCGTCGCGGATCATGCTGGAAAAGAGGAAAACAAACGATGACTTTCACTCGGGAGAGAACTGCAACGGATATGTCGTGGAACATACCGCATCTTGGCATGGCATTAAAACAAAGCATATGCCATGTGTATACACGTGACAAACAAAGACATAATAGGAACACAGCATCCAAGGTTAGCAAATGCCGCCTGGCTCGAAAATCACCAAAATTTGTAAAGCCTGAAATGCGAAAACATCGGCAGGGATCAAAAATCACCAAAATTCCCAAAATCGTGGCATCTATGGGGCCATGGGTGTTTAGTTTTGCAAAACTTTGGGGATTTTCGAGCAGGCTCGAAAATCCCCAAAATTTGTAAAGCCTGAAATGCGAAAACACTGGCAGGGATCAAAAATCACCAAAATTCCCAAAATCCTGGCATCTATGCGGCGTGCGGGGCCATAGTCTCTCACATTTTGGGGATTTTGGGGATTTTTGATCCCTGCCAGTGTTTTCGCACTTCAGGCTTCAGGAATTTTGGGGATTTTCGAGCCTGGCAGTGTTTTAGCATCCGACGTTGACGAAATGCCGCCAGGCTCGAAAATCCCCAAAATTTGTAAAGGCTGAAATGCGAAAACACTGGCAGGGATCAAAAATCACCAAAATTCCCAAAATCCTGGCAACTATGCGGCGTGCGGGGCCATAGTTTCTCACATTTTGGTGATTTTGGTGATTTTTGATCCCTGCCAGTGTTTTCGCACTTCAGGCTTCAGGAATTTTGGGGATTTTCGAGCCTGGCAGTGTTTCAGCATCCGAAGCTGCCCACCTCCCATGATCCACTGCTTACCAAAAGCAAGCATAGTATGGATCATGGGGGGGGGCGTAAGCATATATATATATATATATATATATATATATATATATATATATATATATATATATATATATGGTCACGCGCTCCGCAGACCCCCCCCCCCTCCCCCCCCAAAGGTCAATGGTCCGGATATAGGGTGGGGCCCCCCCCTCCCCTGTGGTGTGGGGTGTGGGGTTCCTTTTCCTCCTGTGGGGTGGTTGTGGGGTTTTGGGGTTTCGGGTTTAGCTTAAGCTTTTGAGTTTTGGGTTTACGGTTACAAGGTATAAGGCTTCGAGTCGACAAGGGCTTAGGGAGGATTTGCGGTGTATGCTCTGCTTTAGGCTTAGAGCCTGCAGTTAGGTGGGGTTTAGGGTTGGGTGTAGCGTTTTAAGTACAAGTTAAGGTTGCTCAAAACAGGGGCACGCGCTGCGTCATAGGGTTTACGGCTTGCTTGCGAAGGGCTTGCGCGTGAGCCCTGGCCGCCAGCACCACCCCACCATCCAGTGGCAGCTCCAACGGCCAACCCCCTTTCCGCACACGCCAGGCCCCCCCCCCCCCCCCCGCGTGTACCCCGCTTTACAACCAGAATCCCCACTTTACAACCAGAACCCCCACTTTACAACCCATGAGCCTTTCCGGAATCCCCACTTTGCAACCGGTTGGGAAAGCTTCTTAACAACCCTATTAACTGATAACGTCAAAGCCTAGAATTTCTAGCATCATCCTCTACGGCAGCCATGCAGGTTGGAAAGTGATGTTGGTTGCAATGTGGGCGTTCTTAACCCGAAACCACGATAGATATGTGTGTGTACATATATATATATATATATATATATATTTATTTATTTATTTAGACGCGTGAGGGTTTGGTATCGATGATATACTGTTCAGATGCTCACCTCAGCGAGCGTGTTGTTGCATAGTGGTTTGCACTTTACGCACTTGCGGCCGTCAAGCTGTATCCAACTCACTCCCTGCAGGCAAACTCGGACCGAGTGTGTTTGTATTGCGGAAAGCAGAAAGAAAACATGAGTTTTAGAAACGGATTCTTTTCTCACCAGAGCGCAGGTATGCATTTGGTTCGGGTGCAGATTCTAAACCTGCATATTCTAAACCTAGTGGCTTTACAAGGGTTTAGGGCTTCGGGTTTAAGGCGTATAGGGTTCGGGTGCATATTCTAAACCTAGTGGCTTTACCAGGGTTTAGGGCTTAGGGTTTAAGGCGTAGGGTTCGGGTGCATATTCTAAACCTAGTGGCTTTACAAGGGTTTAGGGCTTAGGGTTTAAGGTGTAGGGTTCGGGTGCATATTCCAAACAAGGGTTCGGGTGCATATAATCCGGAGCAGCCCTCAACTACTGCTTTGCCTCCAGCCAGGCGCACAGAAGCACCCACAGACGACAAAGATCAAAGATATCATGCGACGAAGCAATTTTAGGGATGTTCGAGATCTTAGTAGTTTGGGGCCACGGTCGCATGAAGGCCACGTAAAACACTTTAGGGGGTCAAAGAACCAACAAACTATTAGGAATCTAGGTAGGTTTGTTGTAAAAAAACTCATGAAATCCCAATAAGTCTTAATCATGGGTAGACGGGTTGCAAAGTGGGCGTTCTCACGATCGGCAGTTGTAAAGTGGGGATTCTCACACGGAAAACTGTCTGTGGTTGTAAAGTGGGGATTCTGGTTGTAAAGTAGGGATTCTGGTTGTAAAGCGGGTTAATCCCCCCCCCCCCCCCCCACCCCTGTCAGACCATACCATTGGGGGGGGGGGGGGCTGGGAACGCCAGACGCCTGACCATATATATATATATATATATATATGTTTTTTCGTTGTGCGGTAAGATATCCCGTGGCCCTACTCTAAGTATGTAGTTAGACCCTGCGATTACGTGGCAGGAAAGCCAAGGAGGATGGCTACTTTCCTGAAGTACGCTTGAAGAACGGCGAGGACCAGGGTGTAGGAGTGTATGGCTTAGGGTTTAGGGGTCTATGGCTTAGGGTTTAGGGTTTAGGGTATGGCTTGTAGGGTTTACCCTAAACCCGAAACCCTAAACCGTTTCAAGGTTCAGAGTGGCCAGAGAGCTCAGGATAGGAGGCCTTTCCGAATAGAGCGTAGTTTGCAGATTGCAGGCAAAGGAGCAAAGTTCACTTCATCCATCATCCAGCCTCGAATCATGCCTGACCGGAAAAGACAACACCCTTGGAATATGAGCTCCAACTCAGGCTCAACACCCCAAACCGCCAACAGTCGCCCTAAACCGGAAACTCCACCTTTAAAGCTCGGTTCCTCAGCCCTGATGTTGGAGAAGCTGTCAAGCCATGAATAGGAGTCTCAGCACCGATAAGGGTTCCTTTTCGGGATTCTTCGAGGGTTTGTGTAAGGGTTTTTCTAGGGCTCCATTGAGGGATCTTTTAAGGGAGACTGTGTGGGAGCCTGAGGAATGGCGGTGCCATGGGTCGGTGGGTTTGGGAGGTTTAGGATCAAAACCTCTGCTTCCGGGGGTGCCCAGTGCCTGGGAGATTTCTGGGCTTGGGGATTGGTGTTTAGGATTTGTCGGTTTGGGGCCAAAACACAATACTAATTACTTCTACTTGAAAAATTCGTTATATCATACTTGAACAAGCCAATCATAGTATAAAATTAACACTGTACTGATTGTGCAAGAAAGTAGCACTACCGGATCGACGTGAGGTGTTGCGAAAGTGGCAAGCACGGCCAGTGACTTAGGGATTGAGGGTAACATAACCGTTTTGCCATTATCATCATGGTCATTATCATCATCATTATTGTCTTTGTTTGAGCATTTAAAATCGGTTTAGAAGGTAGTAGTGTTGCCTGGACCCCTACCATTAGCTCCGACAGCGCACTAAGCCAGCAAGGCTTATGGCCTACAACCGAACATTCACATTACTTGGAGGTTCATGGGTAGTTATAAGTGGGGTTATAAGTAGGATAACTATACTTATAACTCATATTAGGGGACTTATAACCCTACTTATAACTACCCATGAACCTCCAAGTACGTTCGAGGACCCTGACCAACAGTCCGTTACTTGTGAACAAAGGACCCAGTAGTGGCCATCCGTCGAACAGTCTCGGAGCATCTTCGGCTGTCACAGGCGCAGGGGTTAGCGGGTGGACGGGTGAAAGCCGCGTTAGAGTCCAACTCAACTGGTATTGCGTATAGTCTACAGTATAGAGGGCTGTGCATGTATGTATGTATGTATGTATGTGTATCTATGTATGTATGTATGCATGTATGTATGTATGTATGTTTGTGTATGTAGGGCCGTACGTGCGTATGTAACTATGTAGGTAGGTAGGTGGTGGCCCGCGCACCAGGACCCTTGTGTTGACCTGCTTGTTTTGGGGTCGCGCGGTTGGTTTTCCTTTTTTTTTGGGGGGGTGGCCGGGGGATTGGGGGGGATGCTAACGTCCGTTGTCCAAAAGCTTTGGCATTTACAGCGTTCTCGCGCTTTGCACAACATATAATGCAAAAAGAATGCTTGACGTTTCTGGAACACGACACGTTGGCACAAGCGTTCATGTCTTTTGTTGACCAGCCGAAGACGCTGCTATTTGCAGCATTCCAGGCTTTTTCATGAGATAATGCAAATTTCGCTTGACGTTTCTGGACAAGGCGCTCTGTCACAAGCCTTCATCTCTTGTGTGAACATGCCAAACACCCCGGCATTTTGCAGCATTCTTGCCTCTTGCACAACATAGTGCACAAGTATGTTTGACGCTTCTGGGAACAGGGCGCTCTGTCGCAAGCGTTCATGTCGTCTTTGAACATGCCCAAAGCACTGCTATTTACAGCATGTTTGCCTCTTAGCCTCTGCGACTAGCATTCGGCGACGTCACGGATGTATCACAATCGTGCTGGAATTTACGGCATTGTTGCTTCTTCCCACAACATAGTGCACGGGCCTGTTTGTGCTGTCGTTCTTCGTGCTAAGTTGCATTAAGACCATTCATCAACATTAAAAAACACCAGTTTGTTTAGCAGGCGCAATGGTTTTCGGGGTTCTGCAAAACCATGAGTTTTCACGACTAAGCTTGTACTTAGGAAATAAGGGCATACATGTGCCACGGAACCACCAAAATCCTGGTGACCTAGTTGCGTGTGTAGGCAGGTAGGTAGGAAGGTAGGTATAGGCAGGCAGGTAGCTAGCTAGGTGGGTGGCTGGATAAGTAACTAGGTAAGTAGGCAGGCGGGTAGGTAGCTAGGTAGATAGGGTAGGTAGGCATGTGTAGGTGTGTAGGTGTATGTGTGTATGTATACATGCAGGTATGTATGCACGCAAAACAGTGTGTACACAGTACACGCCGACTATGCGCAACCAAACAACAATGTAGATAAATGATACATGGATAGGTAGCTAGATATTTCCTGAATAAACGCACACACAGACACGTTGACAGATAGATTGTTGATGTGCAGGTAGATAGATAGATAGATAGATAGATAGAGTGGCCGATAGATGGATGGATAGATAGTTCGATAGATCGATAGAAAAGCAGATAGACACGTACATGATTAGACACATAGACAGATGGATGGATAGGTCTGTAGGTAGGTAGATTCGTTGAGAGATTTCAACGATGTAGTACATGACGGCAATGCCAAACTGGCTTGGAGTTCGCCTGATGGCTTGAAACCCTGAAGCTTTGCCAGAAGTCTTGAGTTCCCGCAGGTCCTGCATCTTAACCCTAAACTCCAAAGCCCGCACACACCCCAGAACCCACGTTGCCAGGCGATGCCAATGTGCATCCGCTTTGGCGAGAGACTTCTTGAGGTGTGCAAGGGCGGGCCGCAGGGGTCTAGCGGCGGCTGCCGGCAGCACTTAGCTGTCTCAGGTGCCCCCTTCAAATGATCAAAGCTCATAACACTGTCATGACGATGGTGGTGGTGAGGTTTCGATGATGACGAAGACGGGTTTGGTGAACGGGGTTGGTGATGGCGGTGCTGCTGATGATGATGATGTTGATGTGGCCGATGATGGTGGGTGACGAAGATGAAGACTATGCAGATGGTGAAGATGCTGAGTTTGCAATATGGGATCAGATCGATCGGAATCATAATGTTGAAGTGGAAGTGTTTTTAGTACTCATGGAGGTGAAGATGATGAGAATGATAACGATGATGACGATGATGATGACGACGGGGGGCGATTGATCATGGTGGTGATGATGTTGATGACTCCGATCATGATGCTGATGACGATGATTGTGTCGACGACGGTCATGAGAGTGATGATGTTGATGATGGGCTTCGCATACCTCGTTACTTCAGTCTTCATCAACCGGAAGCACAGACAAGCCCCAATCTGCAATCATTCTCGCCACTGTCGTTCCCGAATCCCACGCCCAAGGTTCGCTTCTTTCCGCGCGCGAAAGCCCTTAAGCTCATTCTGTCCCCTGCGGACGTGTACCTCTCAGAAGCTGAAGGGGCGCTGATACAGGACCCCGTAGCAAGGCTTCAACTAGCTGTCACTAGTGGCCCTCAGGTCCTCCATCCCGCAGGTAAGTCTCTGAAGCTCAAAGCTCACATTTAGTAGCTTCACTCTGTCAGGAGCAGCGAGACTCCCAATCTCTTGCAAAGTTGGTTGCGTGTCAGGCCGGTCTTGGTTCCTTTCGGGAATGATGGACAGGTTTATTATAGGGATTTGAGATTTTCGCGTTCAGGGCTGTAGAACGACACGGCGTAAAGGTGTAGGGGATGTCCATATTTACTGTTGTATAGATACACGGTTTCGATTGTAGACATCATGCCTTCGCGGAATGCAGCTTCGGTGTCTCAGGGTTTTGGGTCGAGGCTGACAGCCTCGTCGCTGACTGCATTTTCATCAGCAGGGAGCTGTGATACTGAGCTCGTCGAAACTCGTCAACCCTCAAACCGTCTGCAGAACCTTACCTCTTGAACTGCCAATCAAAACCCCAACACTCCAAAACCTTCAGCCTTCAACCGTTTAACCAGTTCGTTCAACCAGTACGCCCTTGCACGTGTAGACCCCTGAACCCTACGTAAACCCTGTTAGAACGGACCACTCGATTTCTTGGGTAGCTCGAGTTTGAGAGCTGGGCTCATATCCTGGCTCGGCATAGTTCACTTTCCGGGTTCCTGATGCCTTTAAGACCCGTTTTTTGGCGAATAACCTGGACCCTAGACAGAACGTCTACCAAAACATCTACATACGTATACACACGCACACACACAGATACGTATATATATATATATATATATATATATATACCTGTTGCTTCCTTCGAGCGTTTATTCCTGCTCGTTTGATCGTTGTGCGATTGTGCGGTTTTATTTGACGGATAGGATAGGATTGTGCAATTCGTGCGCTTCTTGTCTTTTCGAGCGTTTCCTTGCTTCAGCGTTCAAGCGGGCGCTTTCTGTGCATGTGCACTACTGCGATGACAGTATCGATGCCATGACGCTGCACAGCATCCAGCATCATGATGAACTTAAGACTTTGGCCTGTATCATCAATCCGCATTTAAGATAATAGCTAGCATGTACCAATTCTATGCACGCCCTGTGGTGCATGATGCCCCCTCTGATATCTGCGAACGATGGTGGAGGCGGGAGCCAGCATCATGAGCATCACACCGTAGGTGCCACCGATGCCTTGGCTTGCAGGTCTGATGTGGCTTAATGTGCAAGAAGGCCAGCTGTCATCTATAGTGCATGAGTTGCAGCAAACGTACCATCAAAGCCCGGCGGCGTCTTTGATTCCATGGAGCTGAGGGCACAGGTCAGCCCTCCCGTGCCAGTTCTGTGCTGCTCGATGCCTGCAGAAGCACGTTCATGAGGCATGCAGCAACATACTTGTGTGCATGCCTGGTTCAATCTCTCAGCTCAGCATGTGTGCACATGTGCCGATAATGGTGTCCCACATGCGTAATTATACGGTAGGGCTGTTGGGGGTTTTAAATTATGGCGTCGGGGGAAGCCATGGATCTGGAGGATCGTGGTACAGCCCTTGCAAAGGCGTGGGAGAAAGATCCGGAAATTCGCCGTCGTGTTGCTGCAGGCAAACTTGTCACGAGACTGCACTAGTATAGTACATGCATGCTTGAGCTTAAAATTGTTTGCTGTGCTCATGACCGAGGTCAAAACAACGCCCAATGGTACGGTGGACCGGACGGCCCTGGAGTTGAATGAAAGGTTGCTTGTACCTGCCATCATGCACTTGGGAGCGCGAGTGGGAGTGGACACCTTGGAATTCCATGTGGCTTCCCTCTACAACGATGTGGTGCAAATAGCATGCAGTGGCATCTTGTTGAAAATACTGTAGCTGCCTGTTCTGTGGTGGAATCGGTATCAGTGTGTGCATGCATCGTGGCAGGTAATGATAATGTGCATGCATGTGTCCGATTCGAACTATAAGGACCGCAAGCAGGGGCAATTGCCTGGCAGCTCAAAAGGCTGATGTCCCTTTTCAACCGTGTCAGCTCACGGCCTCACCGTCCTCGATCTGCAATCATCCGCCGGATGATGGAGACGGTCGGCATACCGATTCCTGAAGGATGTGCAGGGGATGATGAGGATGACTCATGTGATGATCCCGAGGAAGGTGAGGAGGAAGAGCCTTTCGAAGAGGATATGCTAGTGGAACCCATGGGTGAAGGTGGTGATGCTGATCTCGAGCCTTTGATGATTGAGCGCCCGCTAGATACTACTACGAGCACAGTGCCCCTGATGGAGGTGGCTGAGCGACCTGCCAAGACTCGCAGGATGGATGTTGACAACAATGATGTAAAGCTTCAGCAGCAGCAGCAGCAGCGGAAGCAAGGGCAGGTGGCTGCAGCAGAGGACATCCCACGGCCAACAGATGAGCAAATGCGGGAGCTTGCAGAGGAGCACAAACCATGCAGCAAGGAGCCACGAAACGATGCCCAGGAGGCTATCCGAAGCCAACAGACAAGCACTGATCAGGCTAAGCCGCAGCCAGTAGACAGCCAAACGACAAGCGCTGAGGCTAAGCAGCCAGTAGACGGCCAAAAGACAAGCACTGAGGCTAAGCAGGAGCCAGTACCAGATAGATTTTTTTACTTGTTGTACATGTAACTGGCTTATCTACCATAGAATGCACTTAAAGTGAACTTACACAAGTCCTTCTTAAGTTGAAGAAGTCCAACCTTAAGTTCATCCTAAGTTCCCCTCAAGTAGTTTGACTTTGCTTGATTTCCATATTTTTCCGTAGTGAGTATTTGTGTGAACCACAAAATTAACAGTGAAGGGTTGCAGGGTTTGTGGGGTTGAAAGAAACGTATTGCAGCTGGCTCTTCATTTTTCTTCAGTGCGGGCACAGGACCTTGTCTCCAACAAATTGCAAGAAAGCGGGGAGTAGGAGACCGTGGTTCACCAAAGGCTGCAGCAAGGCATCTTCATCTGTCGCCGTCCGAAGCGAACCAAAGTCTTGAGAGATTTTGTCCCTGAGCCGTTTGGCTAAGAACCACGGCCCTGCCAGCCTTCCATCCAGACATTGCGTCACGACCCCTCCCACAGTGTCGAAAAGCAGAACATCGCCGGCTTTGACACTGAGTCTCACCAAACGAAGTTCTTTAACGACGAAGAGGGTATCATCTTGCAATCTCTGTCGCATCTGCGCACACAGAGCCACTTGTAGCGACCGCCTTGGGCTCCGTTCTTGGCCGGAGTGCGCAAAGAAGTCTTGCTTCTGCTCTGGCGTGAGCTCGTCGAGGGCCCCGACACCCAAGTTCCTGTAGACCAGCATGCGAAGCGAAAGGCATGACTAGCTTTCAAACTTGTCACCTTCGCCGCGGCCCTTCTTGTCGTCCGCAAGCTCCTGTCTGCAGCTCATGCAGGGCACAGCAGCAGCTCCTGCTCCAGACACCGCCATGGCAGCGACGCACAGCAGCAAGGAGCGGCGAAGGGCCCTAGAAGCTCGAGCTGGCATAATCCAAAATTTCGCGGATCCAGCCGACGGTCATCCTACAATCATCTTACATCCATCCTACATTCGCCTACATCAGCTTTGACTACAGGCAACGGGGCGTTACTTTGTTACAAGACTATCCTACATTCTGCCTACATCGTCTATAGTGTAGTTTCTAAATCCCGTCCTACATTATCCTACATTCTCCCTACATTTCTCTTTTCTGCGAATCCAAGGAAAATTTCAGCAGCTCATGCGGTTTCGGATTTGCAGAGGCTGTGTTTCTGAGGCTTCCGCTTACAGGTTTGCTTCCAAGTAAGCAAATATATACACAGAGAGACAGAGAAGGTTTTAGTCAGGCTTTAGGGTTTCGTGGGTTAAATGTGTGGGATTTTCGGGCTTCGGGTTTAAGCTTGAGGATTTAGGGTTTAAGCTTTGGACGACGTTGAAGAGCCTGCAGCGGACAACCCTCTTTTTTGTGGGCACCGGCAGACGCAGGTCTCGTCCATGCAGGCCGGCCGGCACGGCGGATGGCAAGCGTCGCAGCGCGCGCAGCTGCAGACCCTGCACGCAGGGGAGCGCACGGCGCAGAGCGATGATGCATGCTCACCGCTTCGGGCCGCTGCATCTATATAGCTTCAACCCGTCAGGGGAGTGCACAGCAGCGGCACCGCTGCGTGCAGTTTTATTTCTTGAGGGGCCACACAGCAGCGGCACCGGTGCGTGCATCAGGGGAGCGCACATGGGCAGCAGCGGCACTCTTGCAGCGCTCGAGTCGCTGCGGCCGCCGCCGCCCGGAGGGAGACGGGCCAGAGCCTGGACCGCGCCTATATAGGGCCCCTCGCCTCCGGTATGCGCGACGTCGAGCCACAAGCTGCTGCTTCGAGCGTTTTCGATCGAAAGAAACATAGAAACGAAAAACTATGAAAAACGTTGATTCCTAAGTTCACTTTAACTTCTTCCTAAGTTCGCGGCAAGTTCGCCGCAAGTTCCGCTTATCTACCACAGGAGTACATATGTTGCCACCAAGTAAAATACATCTTGGCCTACAACTTATCTAACTTATAATCAAAAACCTAACTTAAAACCTGAGATATCTAAGATACAACCAGATCGTAAGTTGGTTCTATTTTAGATATGTTATAAAAATCTATCTGGTAGACAGCGGAAAGACAAGCACTGAGGCTAAGCAGGAGCCAGTAGACAGCCGAAAGACAAGCCCAGAGGCTACACAGGAGTCTCCGGGTTTAGAGCTGAAGGGAATGCACAAAAGGTTGCCCGTCCCAGTGCACAAGAGAGTCGTGCAAGAGCATCAAGGCGTGACATATATGCATGCCATGCATGAGTTATACGTGTAGCACATATGCATGGCTCTTGTGCAGGTCCTGGGGAGGTGTCTCCCGCAACAAGTCAGGGCTCACTTCCCAAAGGCATTTCATCTGCATCTTATGCTAGCATATCCTGCTATTGAAAATCCCTGCCCTTGCCCAGGTATCATCGAGCACCAGAAGCCCAGAGTGCATGTGGTGGCTATCTTTGGTGACCAGTTCAAGTGCCAGGCCTGTGGAAGCATTGGCACCATCGAGGCCTTAGGTGCAAGCGACTGCAACCCAGAACTTGCAAACAAGCGTCTTGAACTGGCTACATGCCTGCAGTTGGTGTTGCAAAAGCTAGCTTGCAAGCGGTCTTGCTTACATGATCACTA